TATTATTTTACCCAAACTACGTTAGGTAACCTATGTTATTCCTAACACTGGGCAACAGTTTGGACAAATGCAAGAACAATGAGAACCTTCAACAGATCCTTACCAATGCCACAATCATGGTGGTCAGTGTCACCGCATCTACTACTCAAGGGTAAGATGGGTCATCTGTAAGAACTGAGGGGAGGATTTAGAAGGGATGTGGGAGATCAGCTCTGGGTAGGCGCTGGGGCCAAATTCACACACAGAGCCCCCCCCCCCCCATTGTTCCACTCTGACTGAAGGTGAGACATTCCTTTACTTTTTCCTAATTCTTTGCACTCTAAGAGAAAAGTTCTTCCAGCCTTTTCTTTTGCATGATTTTTTTCACCTTCCTCTAAGAGAGGAGGACCTCTTTGGTATTTAAAAAAGCTTACAAGAATGAGTAGCAGAAATTGGTATACTTTTAACCATTACAGTAATGTTCCCTTAGAGCAGGGGTCGCCAACTCTTTGGACCTCAGGGACCACCAAACTCATAATTTTAAATCCCAGGGACTACTAACCAGTTCTGTGGGCGTGGCCTAATTTTGGGTGTGGCTTGGTGGTCATGTGACTGGCTGGGCATGGCTTGTATGTAAATATTATAAATATTTATATAAATGTTGAATTTTTTATTAAAAAAGAGCAACTTTTACCCAAAAGCAGGCAAAGCAGGCAGGCAGATTGAGTTGCTCACTGAATCAGATTCACTAAGAGATCTATCTATCTGCAATCAGCCTAAGTCTGTCACATAAAATTTGCTTGGTGTGAATCTGCACTGAATAATAGAAACTTCAGTCCTAAGGGAGGTTCGGCTGTGCTTAAAAGCAGAGCCGAAGATCTAAAGACTAGCTAGAAAGCAAGAAATCCAACCATTTCCTGCTTCCTAGCTAATCTAAATTTCCCTGCACAGCAGAACAGCTGATGTTCGGAAAAAGGAAAAATAGCAATTTAGCAGGCAAGTTTGCCAGGTAAGGAGTGAGTGGGTGGGGAGGGTTCCTGCGGGCCATGTGGATGGCGCAGCCTTGTGTTTCTGCGCAGCCTGGATTAATTGCTTTGGGGGGGGGTGCTCTGGGGGTGAGATTTCTCTGCGGCCCACTAAAATTTTCTTAAGGCCCACCGGTTGGCAACCGCTGCCTTAGAGGATTCTATATTCTATATGATGGGTGAAAAAGTGCTGGAGTTCAAATGAAAATGAGGGGGGTGGGGGGTTGTGCCACTTGTACACCGACATCTTACAATCATTACTATCTGACTATATTTGAGAGAGGGTAGGGAGACAAAGGTGTGCATCTAGCTTTTTTTCTGAGCACACTTGAGAGCAGAAATAAAATTGTTAACTTAATTCAAATATTATTCTTGATGCAGCTTGACTGCATGGCTAAACTTCAAAACCAAAGGAGGAAAACATTACCTTGTTTATCTCTGCCTTTAACGCACGTTCCTGAATCCTGCAAACTCTGACAAGTGCTATTTGTCTTCAGATTTCATTTTTTTCTCTCTTCCCTAACTCTCTGCCCTCCAGATTACAGCATAGATAAAGGAATTAAAAGAGTTAACATCCAATCCACCACATCTAAAGCCAAACCCAGTCCCACCAGGTTAGGGAGAACGGAACTAATATCTATAGGAATGCTACCGAGAGACACAAATGAAAAGAATCTTGCTTTAGCACATTGCTAATATCAGAGATGCAAAATGAATATGAAGGTCTCGAGGACTCTTTCTGTCACTGCAGGCAACAGTTGACCGAGGAGGAACTAGAACGCATCGAGGAGGCCTGTGACATGTCCCTAGAGCTGAATCAATCAAAGCACTGCATGATCTATGAGTATGTGGAGTCCCGTATGTCCTTCATTGCCCCAAACTTGTCCATCATTGTTGGGGCTTCTACTGCTGCCAAGGTAATGAGTAAGTCTGTTGCTGGAGAGCTATGTGCTGCGCACAGAGTTTTTGACTAAACTGTAGAGCTGTAGGAAATACATGTTTTTTAGAGGGAAGTTCAATCTTTCCCCTCTGAAAGGATGACTTTGGAAATTATTTTACCGTTTATAGTTCAGCTGTCCAAAGTTTTGTCAGAATAGCTCACACGTGAGCTGTTTTTGTTTCTTCATTTAAAACAACTGAACCAAGAAATGCCCTGTTGAAGAGTAAATATTCTGTTTCTGAGAATATGATTAATTCTGGTGTTGAAAGGCTGGAAAATGCCTTTCTTCTGAGGGTTCGGTTTTCCTGCTGGGAGAACTCCAGTGCAAGGATTCAGACAACTACTTGGAAGCCGGTTCTTTTTATTTTTCAGGAAGGCGAGAGATAGCAAGAAGTCTGTGTTCCTGGAGCTAGCTCTCTTTGTATAATAAAAACCCTGATTTTTATACCTTTTTCTCATTTTGTGTGTGTGTGCTTGTGTTTGTATTTCTTAATGTTTTAAATCTTGTCAGGGGTTGTCTTCATTTCCGCTGGAGGGTAAACTCCGGGGGGGTGCAGAAGGCAAACTTTGCAGGGTGGTTTGATTGGATTATCAGTTTCCTAATGTTTTCTTGTGGCAATCTCCTGTCTGTCTCCTTTGCAATATATTTTGTGTCTTTTGTCTGTTTGTTTAGCTGATTTGGCATGTCTTGTGTTTTTAAGGGTTTTCTTTTCTTGTTTCCTTAGTTTTCTTAATTATTTGGGCTTTTGTCTAAGGGGCTTCTTTAATACCTTTTATTAAATCTCTTTTCCTATGCAAGTTTGTTTTATGGCTGGCCTGATGTTCCCTTTGGGCTTCTCCTGCTTGGGTGTCACCACTGTCCTCATGAAGTTCCCTTTCCACACTGGCAAATCTCCAAAGAAGGATTAGCAAGAATCCTTCTTTGTGGACAGCAAGCTCAGCTTCCCAGGGAGAGGCCCTTCTCTTCAAATCTCAACAAGCGGGGAAAGTGACTTGCCAAAAATTGGCTGAACAAAAGCCTTGCAGCTTCTTGGCTGTTTGATCCTGCTGTGTCATGTTCACTCTCTGTTTCTTCTTTGATTAAGGCATTGCCGGTGGCCTCACCAACCTTTCCAAGATGCCAACTTGCAACATCATGCTCCTGGGAGCCCAGAGTAAATCTCTCTCAGGCTTTTCCAGCACTTCTGTATTGCCTCACACTGGTTACATCTACCACAGTGACATTGTACAGCCATTGCCTCCAGTAGGTGTGAGAATACGAAGCTCCTTTTCTGATTGATGTGTTCATGCATGAGGCTCCAGCATTGATTTTTATTCCTTCTTTGTAGGATCTGCAGAGGAAAGCAGCACGTTTGGTGGCAGCAAAATGCACCCTAGCAGCTCAAGTGGACAGCTTCCATGAGAGTCCTGAAGGGAAGGTGAGGTTGAAGGCCTGGGGGGAGGGGATAGTTTTGTGTGCACCACTTTCACAAATGCAGCTTTGTACACACAGGCACACACCCACTACTTCCGTGAATGGGTGTGTCCTGGCACTGGGCAGTGGACCAAGAGTTGGGGACAGTGGTAGAATTCAAATTTTTTTACTACCGGTTCTGTGGGGATGGCTTATTTGGTGGGCATGGCTTGTGGTCATGTGACTGGGTGGGCGTGCTTGGTGGTCATGTGACTGGGTGGTCATGGCTTGGTGGTCATGTGACTGGGTGGGCGTGGCCAACTCAATGTCACTCACATCAAGGGGTGCCTCACCTGGCCCCTCCCCTCCCAGCCATTCCTTGTCACCCAGCCTCAACTTATCTATAGTTCTGTAAAAATGTTGTTCACCTTTTTTGACTTGATTATCTGCATACTATAGATGTACTTTCAAGGACCACTGAAAGGAGGAAATGGCTCACATGCTTTACTCAGGAGTGTGATAGGCAACAGGCTTTTAAGGGGCTGCCACAAAGAAAGGGGGACAATGTATTTTCCAAAGAAGCAGAATGCAAACAAGAAGCAATGGATGGAAACTGAACAGAGAGAAGCAACCTAAAACTGAGAAGAAACTTCCTGACAGTGAGAACAATTAACCAGTGGAACTGCCTGTCTCCAGAAGTTCTGGGTGCTCAATCACTGGAAGTTTTTAAGAAAAGACTGGACAGCCATTTCTCTGAAATGGTACAGGGTTGACCCCAAGGTCCCTTCTAAGTATTATTCTGACACCTTTCCCAGGATTTCTACTCAGAGTTTGGCATCCTCAGTTTTCTTGCCTGAGCTGGGGGTTGGACTAGAAGACCTCCAAGGTCCCTTTCAACTCTTGTTAAACACATGTGTATTTTATGCTCTCAACTATTGACATTGAATGCATGTAAACCCTGAAAAATATGTGGTAGCCCTGGGCAAAAGAAAGGCAGAAAAATCACTCTAGGTGTAGGGACAGTGTAAAACATTAACACATGATAAATAATGGAACAATTAAAAATAATAGCACAGAGTTTTATCTCTCTCTCTCTTCCTATTTTTTTTCTTTCTTTCTCTACCTTTTTCTTTCTTTCTTTCTTTCTTTCTTTCTTTCTTTCTTTCTTTCTTTCTTTCTTTCTTTCTTTCTTTTTCTTTCTTTCTTTCTCATACACACACACACACACACACACACACACACACACACACACACAGCACTTAACAGACAAGCATTTTGGAAGCAGCTCCTTTAAATTTCTCCAAGGCTTGAGTGGATTCCCCCACCCCCTCTGTCAGACTGCACTCCTTCTCACTCCAGCACTTTAACTCACAAGGGGAAAGCGATACTTGCAGCATCCATGCCTTTCTTCCTTTTCCCCGGGGAGAAAGAGGACGTGGGGAACAGAAAGCTAGGAGAGCGATCGCAAGTGAGTGACTGGGCGACTGGGTTGGGGGCGTGGCCAGCCAGAGATTGCCACTGGTTCGGCGACCCATGCCAAATAACTGCTACCGGTTCGCCCAAATAGGTGCGAGCCGGTTGAATAGCACCTCTGCTATGAGGGTTTTGAACCCCACTTAAAATAACACTCAAGAATCCAAACGAAGTGGTTAGGCAAAAACAGTATCGAAAAATAGAAGGAGTGGCATCCCAACCCTTATCCAAAAACAAGCAAGAACTAAGGAAATTCTTAGACTTGGTGGGATACTGCAGGCTATTGATGGTTATGCTGATCTTACCAAACCTCTGTATGTAAAGCTTATTGAAACTGAACCTTGGAATTCGAAGTGGGAGGGAAATGAAAGGGGAAGCTTTGAAACTTTGAAACAAGCTTTAACCAAGCCTCCTGTATTAAGTTTGCCAAATTTGGAAAAGCCATTCCATCTCTTTGTAAACACAAAGAATGGAATTGTACAAGGGTTGTTGGCTCAGGACTGGGCAGAACAAAGGAAGCCTGTGGCATTCCTGTCAAAAATAATGGATCCAGTTATAAGAAGATGGCCAGTATAAATTCAGGTGATTGCTGCTGCGATTTTGATGCAGCAGACAGATTTGGTTTTACAATTAGAATCCAGAACAGTTCTTAGCCAACACTAAATCAGAGGATTAATATGGATTAGAACATTATTGTTCTGAAGTAATAGACTTACAAACTAAAATAAAACCTGATTTGGAGGAACACCCCCTTTTGAAAGTAGAGTCAATTTTTTTAGATGGTTCTTCTAGGGGGGAGGGGGGAGCATGGAAAATTGGGTGTGCTATTATAAATGGACATACTAAAGAGATACTGGAAGCAGGGGGTCTGCCTCGAAGCTGGTCTGTTCAGACTTGTGGATTGTATGCACTAAATCAAGCTCTGTGTATGTGTTTGGGATGGTGCATACTTTTGGCAAGTTTGGGTGGAAAGAGGAATGATAAATAGCAAGGGAAAGGAACTAGTACATGAAACTCTGATAAAGGAAATAATGAATTCTTTATAAAAACCTAGAAAAATAGCAGTGACACATGTGAATGTACACCAAAAAGGAGAATCAGTAGAAGAAATTAATGTGTTCACTGAGAAAGAACAGAAAAAGAGTTACAACAAATAGGAGGATAGGAGGGGGAGAAGGGAAAGTGGTTTATCCTAGATAGAAGACAAATAAGCAAACCAATTGCATGAGAATTGCTGGAAAAACTACATGAAGGAAGTTGTTCTATATTAGCATTCTTGGAATACCCTCACCTGATTGGCCCAAACGGACTGCCCTGTGATTGGTGGAATAAAACAGCAGTGATTGGCTCGTAAGGAATCAACCGCGATTGGCCGCGCTGATCGTGGGAGATTCAAAGAGCCGTCATTGGCTGCGAGCCGCCGGCAATTCCTATAAGAAGGGCTGCCGCAGATTGCAGGTCCAGCACAGACCTATATAACAAATAAAGAGCTGAACTGTCACGCTGGTCTCGAGTCTCTCTTTTCCCGCGATTTAACAGAAGTCATTGGGAATGTTTGATGATCCTCCTCATGGCTTGCAGGTGGGAGCTATGAATATAAGTTTGCAACTGCGCAGTTAGAATTGCTGAAGTCAATTAGTGTTCACCTTGAAAGAGGCTTATCTTTGCTGGCGTTCTTCCCATGGACTTTTCTCAGTTATTTTCCTGGAGTTTATAATTAGTTATCTCGGCTTGCTTCAGAACTCTCATCAATGCAGTTTGTTTTGGTTTTCTGTTTGCCTCATTATTTACTTTTGTGACTTTAAACTGTGCCTAATAAAACAGTGAAGTTAAGTTGAAGGCTTTACCGGACTTTAATATATGTTTTGGGTTTTGGGTTATTTTGAGAGACTACAGGTCATCACACAAGGGCTGGGTGGCGGCCTTGATAGGCCCAGGCACAAGCAACTGGCCATCAATGGTTTCAACCTGCAGAACACTGGGGAATTGCATACTTTTCTGCGAAGGTCACGTCCATGAAGTTCGTGGTGGCGCCGGAATCCACCAGAGCATGTGCTTCCTGATTGCTGCCGGCGAACCACAACACCCTCTTGCCACAACAGCACCATTACCTCATCCTGGCTGGTGAGAGTTACGCTGCTGTTTGCATGTTGCACCACCTGAAAATTTGCACATTGCACGTGCCACCCCCTACGGCGGAGATTTCCAACCCCACCACAGGCTGGTCCCATATTCCAGAGCTGCAATAGTCACAAGACTGGCCCTTTGGTCATCCCGGAGCAGCACCTCCTCCAGTCCAGTGGTGGGATTCAAAAACTTTTACCACCGGTTTGGTGGGTGTGGCTTGGTGGGCGCGCTTCGTGCACATGCACACACTTAGCGTGCATGCGTGCACCAAACACGCACTTTGCGCAGGCGCAGAGGTGTTTGCGCAGGCGCAGAAGCATTCCAACTCACCTGCAAGCCTGCACTCTCCCAGTCGCTTCAGCAGCTGCCGTGCAGCACTCTTCTGTGCTGTGCAAAGCAGCTGCGCTTCAAACGCAGAAGATAAAAGTGAGTATGGGAGCCCGGGCGGGTGGGCCCAACAGCAGAGAGGCAGAGAGAACCGGTTTGGTCTCCGCTGCTCATTGCTGCTACTGTCTCGGCAGAACCAGGCAGAACCGGTAGCATACCACCACTGCTCCAGTCCATGGCAGGCCGGTGCACCCGGGTGGACGAGCAGCTGTTCTGGGATAACCAAAGGGCCAGTCCTGTGACTACTGCAGCTCTGAAATATGGGACCGACTTTCCCACCAATGTCAGCAAGACACCCCGGGGCAGATTTCCCTCCCCCACCATTGGTCTTACCTTCTAGTTCCAGCTCGCGTGGCTCTACTCAAGGTAAGGTTTACGCTCAGCTGAAGGGTGGGGACCAGCAGGTTGGCGGGCCATGTGGGCACCACAGCCTTGTGTTCCGACACAGCCTTCGGGGGAGTGTGCTTTTGAGGGGACATTTCTCTGCGGACCACCAAAATTTTCTTGCATACCACCAGTTGTCCCCGGCCCACCGGTTGGCGACCACTGATCTGGAGCACCAGAGGAGGACAAGAGGGAATCTGACTTCTCTGCATACGAAGACATGGCCCGAGAGACCCTCCTTCACAAGGGTGTTTGAATCTCACAAGTTCCAGGCCTTATTGTTCAAGGCTAGGAATATGGCCCAGTTGGGGCCAGAGGCAGTTGTCAGGGAAGGGGAAGGTGATGCTACTGCTCCTCCAGACCAATTTTTCACTGAGCCAACAGTTCGGCCTGAAATGGTTCCAGTCCCTAGATTATTTTTAAATGTAATTAAGAAACAGCTGGAATCGCTGGGCACATCTGCCATGTTGTTGGCCAATGAGTGGCCTAGCAGGGCCAGAATTGACCCCTCAGAGTGGAGCATTCCCCCTGTTCTATTTCAGGAGCTGTCACAATGGTTCTGACTACCAGTGTTGGACCTGTTCGTACTCTCCAAACAATGCCATACTCCCCAGGTTTTTCACCAGGTTCATGACACAGGGGGCAGAAGGGACCAATGCCCTCAGGAGCAGGTAGCCTCAGGGTCTCCTGTATGCCTTCCCTCCTCTTCCGCTGCTGCCAGCGGTAGTCAGAAAGATACTGGAGGAGGAGGAGGAGGTCATACTTCTGGCTCCTTACTGGCCCAGATGCCCCTGGTTTGCGGA